AAGGGGCAAACAAATAAAAATTAAGAATTCTACAAAGTCTCACCAAGCAGAAATACAATCAAAGCACCACACCAACATAATAGCAACAAAGACAAACTATAATTGTCCTTTCCTAAAATTGTTTTCATTTGGGTTTTCTATGAAGTAGAACTCTGGTATATTCTGATGGAAAACCTAGTTATCTCTATTAATGATGATGAGGAGGAGAAGAAGGAGGAGGATTAGGATGAGGATAAATAACAGATAAAAATATATAAATTTTTCCAGGAAAAACACTTGATATGCACAGGTATCCTATGAAGTAAATATGACTCTTATCTTTTTTACAGATGAGAAAACTGAAACATAAGGATTGGATTAACTTGGTCAACTTCATGTAGATTGTCATACTCTAATTCCCACTTCTTTGTCAAGCTACTATGTTTGTTAAACACTATCCTTTGACTTTTTTTTTTTTTAATTGATCTAAGACAATTATTCTTCTTAATATGGCATTGGACCAGGCAATGTTTTGTTCTGTTGTGCACAGAGTTGCTAGGAGTTGGAATCAACTTGAGGGCACCTAACAACAACTTAATGCTTATGTGATGAGCAGGTAGACATTAATTTTGCAAGAAATTCTGCCAAGTAGTGTCCCCTCTATTTACTTATGTATATCTAGTAGTTTAAGCTTGTTAATGGTATGGTTCAAATGCCTTTTATCCTTATTGGTTCTTCCTGATGCATCTTTCAAAGAAGCATTTTAAAGATTTCTTTCATGAGTACAGATTTAGCAATTTCTTCTTGTATTGCTAAGTCCGCATCACACATTTTGAAGCTATGTTATTTGATATTAGATTGCACCTTATCAAAGTGTCATTCACAATTACATGAATATAACACATGAAGCCTTATGATGTTATATTTTCTTGGTAGAGATAACTTATTAAAATAAAATTTCACTCTGCCCTTAAATAATAAACAATAAAACTATACAGTACCTCTGATGTTGAAACATTTTCTGCTTTTTAAGAATTTTATTGTTAGTTATTTAATTACAGAGTTAGTGCTGGTAGGAAACTCAGCAATGATAATTTACACATATATTTTAATTCATTTCCACAGAGTCAACCAATAAGTGACATGTCCACTAATCTTTAGAGTGACTATCTTATATCCATAAACAGCTTTCAAAATCCTTGAGATCAATGTTTAATTTACTTCTGCGAGTCCCCATGCCACCTTGAATGCAGTTATTTAAAAAAACAAAACCAACCAACAATCAAGCACTGCCATCTTGTTGATTTGGACTCATAGCCACCCCAGTGGGTTTCCAAAGTGGTAAATCTTTATGGAAGTAGATTGTCCCATCTTTCTTCTGCAGAGAGGCTAATGGGTTTGAGCCACCAACCTTCTTGTTAGCATCAAATGCCTTAGGCACTAGGCCACCAGGGATCCTTAGAACACTGGTTAGAGAGGTTCAGTTGCTAATTGCCGAGTCAGAGACTGAGCCTTTCACAACAAAATTCATTTCTCTTGAAGGATTCATCTCACACTACTTGGAACTCAGATTAATCTTCTAAAATAAGGTTGGCTCCACTGGTTCTCACGGAAATCGCACCAGACAAGGGTGTTATTTCTAAAAGGTGAACTATTTTTTGTTTGATATTCTGTTTGAATTACTTAAGTAGAGGAGAAAAATAAAATTAGAACTAACCACAAGAAATTTACTTGTTCTCCTTTGCAAATAATTTTGTTGTGGTGGTCAAGAACACAGGATTTGGAAGTTAGCAGACTGAGTTTAAATTCAGATAATCCACACAATATTGAACTTCTCTGTACTTCAATTTCTGTTTAATTAGCATAATAATATTTCATAAAATTGAAGTTTAAATTAAAATGAATAACTATTATAACACTTTTTATGTAGATACATACAAATTATCCATCACTTCTTATCAATTATTATTACCAGTACTGTTACTCTTGCCCTGTTGTTGTTATTACTATGAGCTGTCAAGTCAATTCTAATTCCTAGCAACCCTAATGGACCTAAACATTTCTAAAGGCTGAATTCTTTATGAGAGCAGCCTTCCAGTTCTTTTCTTCAGCAGAGCCACTGGTGAGCTTCAACTCTGGACTTTTCACTCAGCAGCCAAGTGCTTAACCATTGCACCTCCGAGCTCCTTATTATTACACTAATGCCATCATTATTATTTAATAATTCAAACTCTAGCTTTAACAGTATAAGTTCTATGAGTTGGTATTTATGGAAAACTGTGCAAAGTAATTAGGTGCCTATGGCACTTGACTGCTAACCAGAAAGCTGGAGGTTCAAACGCACTAGCCACATCTCGGAAGGAAGTTTGGGCAATCTACTTCCATAGTGATACCACCTCGGAAACCCAAGGAGGAGTCACTATGAGTCAGGTCCGACTTGATGGCACATACCAACAACAACAACATGCAAAGTAGTTAATCATATTGTGCGTGTGTGTATATATTATGTGTTCAAAACATCTAAGGCTTAGTTTACTGGTGCCAGAAATTAATTAAACCACTTGATTTCCCAAAATTTCAAAATTAGCCCAGTCTGCTTTCCCATCCTACAGTGCAAAACAAATTGGATAGTGGTATTTTGAAAACGCCATTGATAAGCTGAGGCTCAGATGTATTTCACTGCTGCTTTCATTACCTAAAACACATTCAGACTCAACAGAAACTCACAGAGAGTCAAGAAAGATAGTTATTTATTTATTTTTTTCCCTAGTGTCTTACAACATGATTGTTGGATTCACAACAGACAAGTTATTTCTCCATTAGGAAATAACCTACCTTACCACCACCTAGGATTTTGTAGAATTTATTTTGTAGAAGATGTGGGCAACATTCCTCTCCAGGTGTTACAAACAGTCTCATAAGGGATGGGTATTTATCCTTCAGTCTGTGACCAATGGGACTTTATCCCAGGATGTCTCACCGTCCCAGGAGGACTTTGAATAGGCAATTACTCTTCTTCCAGGAGTATGACTTATTTATATTAAATGAAACAAAGAGAACACAATTTACTATGACAAAACCACTTAGAGCATATTTCTCCATACTTTTTGATTAAAATAATAACAGTAATAATAAACTTCAATTACACCAATCAATAGGAAATTGAAAAGATTTATTTTTCAAATTCTGTGACCTCTGCAGTGCTCACTATTAAGTCAGATACTTAAAGAAACTGCAGAATTTATCTTTGCGGAAAGGCCAAGATACAGACTCAGTGCTATTGAGAATGCTACCAAGAACCACATACTTGTTTCTGTTGTAAGAGTGACTGGAAGGAATTATTCCTCGACTGATATATTGCAGAGGGAAGAGCTTAATATTGACCAAACTTAGGTTTGGCTCTTTTTTTCCATTTCACAACAGTGAGAACTTGACCTACTTACTTGGCCCTTTTCCCACAATTTATAAATAGTGAGTAATTTTGTACTTTATCAGATTATTGAGAATTAAGGGAGATAACACATGTAAGTACTTAGTACCTTGTTAAATAGATTGTAGTCACTCAATGACTGCTAGTTTTCAGTCCCAATTATACCAGTACTTATAGCAGTATTTCGCAATACTTTTAAATGCAGCTCTAGATTTTTACTTGTTTATATTATTGACACTGGAACAGTTATATTCGTCAAGGCACTTAAGGTGCACAGAGTCGAGAATGGATAACTGCAGGGTGCTAGCCTTTAAGCAAACACTTGGTTTTTCTCCAGCTGGTGAGAAATTTAAACTTTTTTATTTTTATTTTTATTTTTTTAGCTATTAAGGGGATTTCTTTTCCAGTAAGTTAAGTATCAATGTATGTAGAAAGAAAAAAAAAATTATCTTCCCTCAACAAAATAGCATTGTGTATAAAGAATTAAAATGTGGAAAAATTGCAAAATGAAAGGATGTGCCATAATCAGCTTTCTGGTCAGCAGTCAAGTGCCTTAGGCACTACGCTACCAGAGCTCCTAATACACTTGTAAACTGACCCAAAATTTATCTTTATTTAAACCTGATACATAAAATATATTTAAAATTTGTGGTAATATAATTTCTTAGTACTACTTCTCATGGCTAAGGTAAGTGTTGTATGTGCCTGCTCTTAGAGATGAAACAACAACAAAATGTAAATAATTTTAAAACAACAATTAGATATATAATTATATTAATAATAAAGAAATGTGCTCAAGATATTTGATGTTCTCTATAGAAAAAAATACATATTGAATACAATTGGAAAATAAAAATAACACATAAAAACTTGGATAGAGCTTAAATGTATATAAGAGGTGCAAGCCAGGATGTTTCACACAATTAATAAAAATTGAGCAGTATATTTAGAATGAAAATCTCTGGTAAGGAAAAAAAAAGAAATACAATTAGTTTAATAATTTTCAATGATAAAGATAGTTTTTAGGGCCACCAATACTAAGCAGAAACTGTGACTGAAAAGAAAAGCTCATATGAGGTTAAAAAGGGAGAGGGTAAACAAGGTAGACACTATCCTCAACATACCCTTTCATTAATGCAGTAGTGTGTTTCAAAGATGCCCCTTAAAGCAGTTTAAAATATAAAATATTATATTATAAAATGACATGTAAAGGTATCAGTTCCCTGCAATATAGATCACAGAAAAAAAGAAAAGCCAAAAATCACCCACACAGAAATTCCACCACATGAACTACCTTAAATCCCTGCCAAGTCTGAAGACTAATTCTCCTTCTGGAAGGTTTGTTTTAGCTCCATGACACATGCCCCCAAACCTAACTCTTACAGTAGAGTAACCATGTAAAGAACAGATTTCCCCCTGCTACCCATATCTCCTGCTGGGAAATTTCAACTCACCTTCTAAATTTCAAGACTTGAATTGATCATTTACTTTGTGATTTATCATTGGAGGTTACCATAATATGTTCCCAAATGCTGGAGTCATTTAAAGCCTGAATCTATACAGATTTGCTTTTGGAACACACATAGTTTTGTCACAGAAATTGTTCTTTGTGAGTGACTCTCAAGAAAGCATTCTTCACATCTTTGTTCCTCAGACTATAGATCAGTGGGTTCAGCATTGGAATGACAATGGTATAGAATACAGATGCCACCTGTGCCTGGGTGAGGGAGGAAGTGTTATCAGGCTTTAAATATGTGAAAACCAGGGACCCATAGAAGATGATTACACCGATTAGGTGGAATGTGCAGGTGGAGAAGGCTTTCTGCCTGCCTGCTGTAGACTGTATCCTCAGGATGGCTGACATGATGGCAGTGTAAGTGAGGGTGATGATCAGAAGAGAACTAAGAAGAGTGAATGCAGCTAATACAATGATCATCATCTGTGTGCTGAATGCATCCACACAGGGCAGGGCCAAAAGGACAAGGGTGTCACAGAAAAAATGATTAATGCAGGAGTCACAGAATGTCAAACTGCTTATCACACAAATGCATACCAGAGAAATTGTGAAACCAACAACATAGGGTATGATTCCCAGCGAGCTGCACACTTTCTGGGACATAACCACTGAATAGAGTAAGGGATTACAGATTGCTACATAGCAGTCATAGGCCATGGATCCCAGAAGAAAACATTCACTACACAGCAGACCGACAAAAAAGTACATTTGGACAAAGCAGCCAACAAAGGAGATGGTTTTCTGGTTGGATGGAAAATTGACCAGAGACTTGGGGGTAATGGTGGAGGAATACAATAGGTCAATGAATGCCAAATTGCTCAGGAAAAAGTACATAGGTGTATGAAGCTGAGAGTCAATTTTAACTAGCATGATTAGTCCAAGGTTCCCGAGGACAGTGAATAGATAAATAAATAGGAACATCAAAAAAAGACTGACTTGGATTTCAGGGTCGTTTGCAAATCCAGAGAGGATGAAGAAAGTCACTTCTGTGTCATTGGACACAGCCATTTATTTCAACAGATGGTCTTGATTGACCTGATGCAGAAGAATAATAAAAATCAGAGGATTCAAGTCTGAAGACCTAAACATCAGAGTTTACTTGTACTCAAATCATGATATATTGACATATGAGCAGATATTCAATGGCTTCAAGTTAGCTGAGGACTTATATTCTTTTCTTATCTTACACAATTGGCAGATAGTAATATAAAAAATCCCAAATTCACAATTGTGTAGAATTGATGACACTCCCCCCAAATATCTTTCTAGAATGATTTAAAGTGCCTAAGGCACTTGACTCCTAACCAGAAGGCTGGTGGCTCAAACCCACCAGCCACTCCTAGGAAGGAAGGTTGGGCAATCTACTTCTGTAGTGATACTGCCTCGGAAACCCAAGGAGGTGTGGCTATGAGTCGAGTCCAACTCGACGGCAAATAACAACAACCTCAGACATACCATCCGCTACACTAGTCTATTATTAAGTTTGAAATTGCACAATTGACAATTTCTATTAGAATTAATCATATTATACACCCATTGCCATTGAGTCAATTCTGACTCATGGAAACCCTACAGGACTGGTCAGACCTTCTCTATAGTGTTTCCAGTGCTGTAATCTTTACAGAAGCTGACGACCACATCTGTGTCCCACAGAGCAGCTGATGGACTCAAAGTATGGGCTTTCAGTTAGCAACCGAGTGCTTTAACCACTGCACTGCCTTCATTCCTCAATTACACTATTAGAGAGGAAAGAGCTCGTTGGAAAATGGAGATCCCATGATTTGTGAATTTAATTGTGTCTGTTTGTTTGTTGCTTTCTTTACACCTGACAGCTACTCTACAAGGGTTTTTGAAAGAGGTGAATAAAATCCTAGATTAGATGTACACTTCTAATACTTCAATTGACTACATAAAGCCTTTCTAGAGTTTGTAAAAAATATATACGTATAGAAACCAAAGAAGAAAACAGAAAATTGGAAATTGCCTGCTTATTTTTCACATTTATTTAAAAATTCTTTGTCCTTTGATCACAGTTCTCTTCTCTTTTGGTGAGCTAAGACCAGTTGAGAAACTTAATATTTGACATATTTCAAGTTAGTTTGTGAAGGTATGTGGGAAACAAAGATTTTTCCCCCCCAGTAGAAAGCACGTAGTTATCTGTATGGCAACAGGTCACTTCTTTGACAGACAGTGAGTGATTTATCAAGTATTAGATTGCCAATTCAATTGACATAAATTTCTGATAAATATAATTGAAAATAACATGTACAGTTAATTCATGTTGGTTTCAGATCTATAACACTCTACTTAATCAAGTCAAAGAATTTGATGCTATATAAGTGTATTTAATCTGTTAATATCCACACAGTTATTATTTATCCATGTATTCATTGAGCAAACATTTGTTTAGTGAGGGCATTTTGCCTTGCTTCTGATTTTAAAACCACTTTTCTTGGGCTTACTGGAAGATGCAGACAAATAAAAAGAGTATTTCTCATTATGGGAAATACATCCACAAACACAGTTTTAAATAGAGTAAGGTAACTATATTAGACTTACCTGGAATTCAGTCACCCAAAAAAATCTCCTCTTTCAACAGTCTTCTTATTTTCAAGTTTCTGATCAGACAACAAAGAAAAAATATTGAACAATTTCACCAAAGTCATCATTATTTTTTTTGCATATATATGCCTCATCTATGATTCTGAATCTTACAATGTATCAATGTAATGGCCTGCATCTGTTGTTATTTAGCACAGTGCTTTACATCTTATATAATGGATGCCTGTTGTGCTTGTTATGTTCCATCGAGTGGGACCCGACTCACTGAGACCCCTCCTTGGTGGTAACACTATGATAGTAGATTGTCCAACCTTCCTTCTGAGGATTCCTATAAATGTGAAAATATATTGATTTTGTTGGTGATCATACTGGGTATTATGTATATTTCCTTCAATTGATGAGAAAAAACAGAAAATGAATTAAGATAATTATTTCTTTAATCTCTATTTATAGTTTAGCTCAAACCTAGACTTCTATTCAGGCTTTCTTCTGTTTTTCTCTGTATTTCTAAAGCAATGTCATGATAATGAGATTTCTTCTGCAATCTAGTGTATTAAACAATCTTCTTATACCAGTGTCTCTTCCTCAGACTCCCAACTCAAATGGTAAAGGAATTGGGCAGTTCGCTTTTTTCGTCTTTTGAGATTTATATTTTAATAACAACCTAAGGTATTTTCGTAATTTGCTTTGGATACATAAAAACAATTAACTGCTCCAACATCCATGACCTTCACTTTTATCTATGTCAGTGTAAATGGTCACACATATATTAAAAAAGTTAATTGATAATCCTTAAAATAACATATATATATATATATATATATATATATATATATATATAACAAAATATGATATATGCTTACTAGTATACAATAGATATTTTAAAGTTCTATAGGGACTGCAGTGAGCTTTTGATAGGGATTACTATGGTTTTGCATAATTGTTTCCATTACACATGACCTGCACATATATCATATTAACATCATTATCACTGATCCTCATCATCAAGATATCTAAATTTAAGGACCCCTTACCACATGACAAAAATAGTTTTAGGAATGTAGATTTGTAATCTCATTACAGTGAGTGAAATTGTTTTTGTTGCCCTTAGGTACCTTCAAGTCACCACCCACTCCTAGCACAACTGTGTGCAACAGAGAAAATAGTGCCAGGTCCTGTACTAACCTCACAATCCTTGATATACGTAGGCCCATAATTGCAGCCATTATTTCAACCCATATCGGTGAGAACCTTCCCTTATTTTGCTGATTCTCCACATTAGCAAGCATGATATCCTTCGCCAGGGAACGGTGCCTTCTGACAACATGACCAGAATAGGTGAGATGAAGTCTGGCCATTCTCACTTCCAAGGACCATTCCCACTTCACTTCTTCCTGGACAGATTTGTTAGTTCTTCTGGCAGTGCATGGTACTCTGAGTATTTTTCGGCAACACCACAACACAAAAGCATCAACTCTCTTTTCGTCTTCCACATTCATTGTCCAGCTTTCACATGCACATGAGGCTACAGAAAACACTTTGGCCCGGGTTAGGCACACATTAATCTTCAAAGAGACGTCTTTGTTCTTTAGCACTCTAAAGAGCTCTTTTGCTGCAGATTTGCCCAATGTAATGTTGTTGTTAGGTGCCGTTAAGTCGCATCTGACTCATCGTGACCCCATGCACAGCAGAACGAAACACCGCCTGATCCCGCGCCAGCTCCATGATTCCTGCTATACTTGAGCTCATAGTCACAGCCACCGTGTCAATCCACCTCGTCGAAGGCCTTACCCTCTTTCATCAACCCTCTACCTTACCAAGCATGACACCCTTCTCCAAGGACTAGTCCTCTCTGACAACATGATCAAAGTAGGTGAGAGGACGCCTGGCAGTACTCGCTTCCAAGGAACACCTTGGCTGCACTTCCTCCAGGACAGATCTGTTAATTCTTTTAGCAGTCCATGGTACCTTCAGCATTCTTCTCCAGCACCACAACTCAAAAACATTAACTCTTCTTTGGTCTTCCTTATTCATTGTCCAGCTCTCACATGCATATGAGGCAATTGGAAATATGGCTTGTGTCAGGCCACATTATTCCTCAAGGAGACATCCTTGCTCCTCAGCACTTGAAAGAGTTCCTTCGCAGCTGACCTACACAGTGCTACATGTCATCTAATGTCCTGACTGCTGCTTCCATTGGCCTCGATTGTAGAACCAAACAATGTGAATTCTTTGAGAACCTCAATCTTTTCTCCGTTTATTGTGATGCTGCTCATTGGTCCAGTTGTGAGGATTTTAGTCTTTTTATATTGAGATGTAATCCATACTGAAGACTGTGTTCCTCACTCTTCATCAGTAAGTGCCTCAAGTCATCCTCACTTTCAGCAAGCAAAGTTGTATCATCAGCATATCTCAGGTTATTAAAGATTCTTCCTCTAATCCTGATGCTATGTTTTTCTTCATATAGTCCAGCTTCTCAGATTATTTGCTCAACATATAGATTGAATAAGTGTGGGAAAAGAATACAACCCTGACACACTCCCTTCTTGATTTTAAACCATGCAGTGTCCCCTTTTTCCGTTCGAATGACAACCTCCTGGCCAAGGTACAAGTTCCTCATGAATACAATTAAGTGTTCGTGAATTCCCATTCTTTTCAATGTTATCCATAATTTGTTATGATGCACACAATCAAATGCCTTTGCATTGTCAAGAAAGCACAAGGAAATATCTTTCTGGTATTCTTTGCCCTGAGCCAAGATCCATCTGACAGCAGCTATGATATCCCTTGTTCCACGTCCTCTTCTCAATCCAGCTTGCACCTCTGGAAGTTCTCTGTCAATATACTGCTACAACTGTTTTTGAATTATCTTCAGTAAGATCTTACTTGCGTGTGATATTAATTATATTGTTCCATAATTTCCACATTCTGTGGGATCACCTTTCTTTGTAGTGGGTACAAATATGGATCTCTTCCAGTCAGTTGGCCAGGTAGCTGTCTTCCAAATCTCTTGGCATAACCTCTTGCCACAGATGTAGACAATCTGATACCTGTGTACTCCATCAGGTGAAGTCCATGTGTACAGCCACTGTTTGTGTTGTTGAAAAAAGGTGCTTGCAATGAACAAGTCATTGGTCTTACAAAATTCTACCATGCGAGTTCCAGCATTATTTCTGTC